AAATTGTTTTTGAAAATTGACAAATAGTTGTGACGTTGTCACACTTCGATAAGCCAAAGTTAAAAACGCTCTTAATGCCGAGTAAATAATAATTTTACGTAGGTACTGTACATGATGCATAACAAATGCAATTGAATGACTAAATTGTTTTTAGGTCTAAAATCATATAGCAGCGATCAATTGAAAAAGAGGCTGTAATACCGCATCAAATGGTTGCATATAATCTAAAGTTGCTACTATATTTATCTTTGCTCGAGATCGTCACAAGGGAGAGTCCATTCTACGAGGTTTAAGTCCTTGATGAGGAATAACAAGAAAATCATCATCCCTTTCGGTAAATATAGGCAGTGGTCGAACGAACCATCAACTCATTTTACATTCCCATGCGTATTACAAATCCGGGGAAGCTAGACAGTATTCAAGTTGAGTAAAGCTGGCATATAAAATTTCGGAGATTAGTTACCAAATAAAGAGTTCGCGGAAGGCCACCCACGGGCTCGCACCTGACAAACAAACGGACGAATACCAGAACAGTAGCTGTACTTACATTTTTGCTGCTCTTCAGGGCTGTCACCTCTAAGGCTTTACTATTACACTAAACCTAGTAATAATTCTATAGTCCAATAATTATATTATTTCAAAAAAAAAAATCCCACGAGTGGACGTAACGTAACTCCGAAAAACTTAACTACGGATATGTTTCGTAAGTTTATAACAATTTACAGCTTTTATTTTTATACATATAACAACATTTATTTTTATTAAAATGTAATTTATCTATATAAATCTGTAGAGAGGTTATATATATTTCCAAAATAACTATCATGATTATTAAACCCCAAAATACATTTTTTTGTCTGTCTGTCTGATTTAAATGTAGTATAAAATAAAAGCTTACATAATTACGTTACCAACGCTAAAGTAGCATCAGTAGTATCGATTAAAAAAATGTTATTTAAATTTGTTAAGATTTGACGAACATATTTTGTGACATACATAAAAAATATACAGGAGAACTTAGAAGAGCCACTTTTTGAATTTAATAATCTAGCGAATTCTCTAAAAGACAGTGGGGTTGATTTTCAAGCGCCGTTCATCTAAATCTTTCTACATAATTTAGAAATACAAATTTTAGTTTATAATGGTCCATAAAACAGTAATTTCAGGAAATTGTCAAATTAAAATATAATTTTAAATTAAAATAGGTTTAGTGAAATCGTATCTCAGAATCTTGTGGCTGACATCCCTAATCAATAAATACAAAATTACAATATTTCTACGTAGAAAGATCTGAATAGATAAGAAACGTTTATTGTTTCAAGATTTTAATATAGTTTCATAGATACGTATGGTATGTGTAATCCAAGAAATTTACAAATATTTATTAGGTTTCTCTGGATATTACCTAAAGGCGGAAAAGTCATCATTCATTTTACTGTTATCCATACTAGTCAGATATCTATATTCGATTCGATGGGGGGTTTCATATTGATATTATATATTGGATAATAAACATTTAATATTTTTATATTGCGCCAATATATAGATATTGGGGGGAAAAGGATTGTTAGTAATGGAGACTAAAAATCCCATTGCTAGCAATATACCTAACCAGGTCGACCTCCTCGCGTTTCCCCCTGGAAACTATCATGATTAATTCCTGATGAATTCATCATGATAGGCTAACTGGCCTGTTATTCTCATCGGTCACCCTTCACTAGTGCTCCGCCAGCGTATCCCGTTAGCGCAGGCGGAGTTACCAATCTATTTTCATCCAATAAAAAAGAAAAAATATATAGATACTGTAACATACCTAGTATATAGATATTACCCTCCCCTAACACTCGTACAGACAGTAAAAATTTCTAAAAATTGTTTTTGTTTCTATTGCTCTTATTAAGACATATATAATTTGTTCCTAAATATCGTCTATATATAAACATTGTCTAATTACAATTGTATTATATGTAGGTACCTATATAGATTTTCATAATTATAAACATAGGTCTACTTTGCTTATGTCTACGTTTATTTGCGTCACGAATCTTTTCCGTCACACATGTTGAATTAAACAATATCAATGTGTTGTCCGCTACGAAAATATTTACACATCAATCAAGTAACTTCACAATCTCTCACACAAAGCACAGTCGGAAGCAGCGAGTTATATGATGTAATTATGAAAGCGTTTCAAATAGAATCAATCATATGATAAATAAATTTTTCTATTCCTAGAAACATAACCTCTTTCATTGATCACAGTAGTACAGTGATATGCATGCTGCTTCTTGTAAATGCGGTCCTAGATTCAATTCAGGAAACATCGTCTGTGGCGTGTGTCCTGGATTGAACCCTAAATAGGCAAAGTCGTTGTGGTTTCCTTTTTGGGGTTCCGTACTAGAACGAAACAATGGAACCCTTATCCGTCCGTCCGTCCGTACGTCTGTCACAGTGTTAAAGATAATTGTGTTATAGACACCGTATACTGTAATTTTACTGCCAATTAAGTTATGTTTTTATTATTACAACACGATAGTAGTACATTTATTTATAATTGGATTTATTTATAATTATAATTTTACTCATTTGGGCATAAATTTAGGGTGTACTCTGTACATCCTAAATCTATGCCCAAATCCATTCTATTTTAATCTGGCTACCAACGTACCTGCCTATTGATGAATTTATCTGTTTGGAATTAACAGTTAATCGACGAAACTGTTAAAACTCGATAAAACACAGACAAAACTGTTGGAAACTCAATAAAATCGCATTAAACGGTTGCAATGGGCGCATTATTTATTTAAGTGGTTTTATTGACTCGGCGGGCGGTGTACCGACCACACATAAAATTCGGCCTCCAACCATCATCCGACAGTAAGTATGTTTTATTTTAATCTAATTGTGTCTACTTTGGTTTGCGTTACGTTTGTGAAATCGAACTGGTTTGTTACAGTTTGTGTTGTTGAAACGAGTTTATTATGTCTGGGCGTTTGTTTAAAGATGTACCAAGTGCATATAAATAGACAATGTAGACACTTAATAAATACCTATCTACCTTATAAAGGTAGGCAATTTAATATTTGACGCTCTTACAATAAAAATGATTTAAATACTGTCTATCTAAACCTAGTTTAACAAAACTCCGTCTATGTGGGGGGAAAGGGATTGTTAGTAATGGAGACTGAGAATCCCATTGCTAGCAATATACCCAACCAGGTCGACCTCATCGCGGTTCCCCCTGGAAACTATCATGGTTAATTCCTGATGAATTCATCATGATGGGCTAACTGGCCTGTTTTCATTCTCATCTATCACCCTTCACTGGTGCTCTGCCAGCGTATCCCGTTAGCGCAGGCGGGGCTACCATACCATTTTCACCCAACAAAAAAAGAACTCCGGCTATGTGATTAAAAATTGTTAAGTAAATCATGTTTAGTTGTAATTTTATGTTCCAAAATTAATTCATAAAATTTATTACTTCAAATAACTTTTATTTATTAAAAAAAACAGACTCTTTTTATTAAGACCTAAACAGAGGTTAGACATGTTTTTGTTTTGTCTAAACATGTATTTCGATTAACACTTGTATATCGTAATTTTTTTAATGCGATAAAATGGAATGGTTATCCAGTCTGTGCTATCAGTATACGCTGGCGGGGCACCAGTAAGGGATGACAAGCGAGGATGAAAGCAGGTCAGTTAGTCTATCGTGAATTGAAATTCCACAAGAATTACCCAAGATGGGGGAACCGCGTGGAGGTCGACCTGATAGAGTATATTGCCAGTAATGGAGTTGTTAGATCCCTCATTACTAACAATTCCTCTCTCGGCTCACCTGATGGTAAGTGACTACCACCCACAACACCTACGGCATTGCAAAAAAAGGAATTATATCACAAAAAACGCACGGTTTATATTTTTTTTTTTATGGAAAAACGTTACGACAGGTTTTTTGTCTGAAAATGAAAAGACGTGGGGATCCCGTGCGGACCTCACTAGATATGTATATATTTCTATATTATGACTGACGGTAGTTACATCACGTGACTAACAATCCACACCCAAAAAGAGATACCTAGTTACTTAGATATTAAAGTATCTATCTGATAGCTCGCACCAGTGAGAAATTTAAATGTTTTCTGCCCTTGGGCTATAAAAATTTTACCGCTTCTACAGACTACCACAATTCAATACTCTAACTTGGGGGGAAAGAGATTGTTAGTAATGGAGTCTAACTGACCCATTGCTAGTAATATACCCTATCAGGTTGACTTCCGTCAAGAAACCATCGTGGTTAATTCTAGTGGAATTCATCACGATGGGCTAACTGACCTGCTTTCATCGTCACCTATCATCGCTCACTGGTGACCTGCCAGCGTATACCAATAGCGCGAGCGAAGTTACCATTCTATTATCATCCATAAAAAAAAAATTTACATTAAAATAATAAGTCACGATCACATAATGATTATAAAAAAGTTTTAAATTTTCACTTCTAAAATCTGCTGCCCTAAACTCCAAAGTACTCAGCTTAGTGGTAAATCCGCTACTGGTTTACATTGTTTAAACACCTGGGTATTAACAAGTTGACTTCGAACTATAAAGATAAATCTGAAAATCAATGGTTTTCCGAATGACTCCTATTCACACCTAAAGCCCTCTATGAGTGAATTAGAAAAAAATTATAAGAAAACAGATTATTGTAATTAAGAAGAACTCATAGAGGGCTTTAGGTGTGAATACTTATTTTTTATAATTAACTAGCACGTATTAATTTTTCTACTCGACACTAGATGGAGAGATGCAGATTAACAATTTTAAATAACGTTATTCAATTTATTTTATTACTTTGTGCAATTAAATTGTTCATTTTTTACTATTTTCTTATTTGTATAGAATATTGCAAAACTCAATGAAAAAAACAATAAAATTATAAATATAAATCTCATGAAGCGATGATTCTGCAAAATGGAACATATCAAAATTGTCATTGAAAGGAAAAATGACGTTTGTTGACAAGTGTACTTTGTTATCGTGCCGATTATTTTCTACATTTTTCACCAGAAAAAAATTCTCGTGTATAAGTGCAATCAAATTTCATATGGATAGTAGAAATGAAGCAAAATCAACTATGGAAATCTCAAATGTACAACCCATTATTGCAATATACCGGCACGCACGGCGGACATTTGATGACAAACTCAAAAGTGAATTCACGACCAACTTAAACAAATTAAAATTGATGATGGACGCGCTAAGAGCTGATGATCTCGGATTCGACACTAGCCTCAGTGAACCAGCGACTTGGAAAAAACCCAATAAAGCGCCTTGCACATACATAGAAGTGTTTCAAAATAGTAAAATAAATATGAGTATTTTTGTGTTGAAACCTGGCTTTAAAATGCCTTTACATGACCACCCTCATATGCACGGATTATTAAAAGTGATTGTGGGTGCTGTGAAAATTAGAAGTTTCTCTGAGTATCCTTTGAAAGAGGCTGCTAACGAGTTAGACTTCGCTGTACGTGCGAAACACGAAGCGGCGCGTTTGACTCAAGGTATTCATAAACGTAGAAGATTATTTGCAAAAGTCAGTCACAATCGTATATGTAGAGCTAACTCTGAGACATGTACTTTAACACCTACAGTTTCAAATTATCATGAAATAGAGGCTCTAGATATGCCAGCAGCATTTTTTGACATCCTCTCACCACCCTATGACACATTAATCAAAGATATTGGTCCAAGGAGATGTCGGTATTATAATGTAGCAAATGAAATAAGCACTAATGTTGTAGAATTACAAGAAACAGATGTGCCAAAATGTTTTTATTGTGATCAAGCACCATATTTAGGACCCATACTAGGTTAGGTACAAATTTCTTTAGTAATAATTAGTCCGTTTCAAATTATCAAAGTTCTGTTTGAGAGATCTTTTTCTGATACTAGCAGTAATAAATATATATTCTCTCTTAACAATGTTTATATTTTGCTTTTGGTTTATGTATCTATTTATATACTTTTATCTTAATAATAATATTTTTTTTCTCATAAATTTAAATATAGATAAGTTACTAGTTTTTATTTTTATTATATTTGTAAAAGAAATGGTCACTTAAACAGAATAATGGGTATTAAAAGATATTATAATAATAAGTCAAATTCTCTTAATTATGGAATATAATCCCTAGTCTATACTTGGGAACTGCCAGATTTATATTACACAGAAAAAATAATTATTATGTCTTAGATCTTTGTTACAGTTTTCAGATCTTTCTAAATTTATTTAGACCTAGAAATTTGTTTACTGTGTTTTTAGATCTTTCTATATCTATATTATGTTGCTTGAGCCGTAGTGTATTCATATTGATTGAAAACATTCAGGCAGTTTTACATCAGTAACTATAAATATTATAGAACCATGTGACAGGTGATGCTTTGTTGCCATGAACTTTTTTATAATTAGAGTATTAAAAAAAATGTATTTGTTTCAAATTAATCATTTTTTATGCTTCAAACATTAATTTACATTATATAATTGATTTAAATACGTTTAATAGATAGAATTTATTAAATGCCATTTCAATTCTATCTAATAAAAAGTTATTTATTAACACTGGTGAAGTTTCTAATACTCAGTGACTACACTTTCATCCTGTATTAGCTACAATACTTTTAAAAGTTCTCTACTTTAGGTAGTTTTTTAAAGGAAGCTAGCATAAATAGTAAAAATGTCTCATCTTATTGCAAAAAATATCATGTAATTTTTCTTTCAAAATTGCATCGAATATTTTGTTTCACTCTCCTATTCTGCAGATATCTTCACATATATACAAATGTCTTTGTCTTTGTAAAATTACTTGAAGACCTTCTTATTAGACACTTTATTAAACTAGAGCATTATCCTTAATATGAGATTTATCAAAATATAAATCACATCAATATTATTTATTAGAAGTTTACAAAATATAGATAATTTATTTTATCTGTGTCAGCTATCTATATAATTTGTTTTAATCTACAGTGCTGCTTAGATGACAGACTATCATGCCTGGACTATTGGCAATTTTAAAAACTAAAATCATATTTAAACAATCTACCACACACAATTAAAGTGAACTCATTTTTTCAATGTATGTATGTTACTTTAATGGAAACATCCTGTCACATACAGGTTGTTAATGTAACCAATCACTATTTTTGCCCCCATACTAAACAAGATTTTTGTCCATACCACCATTTGCCTGCGCTATAATTGTGTGTCATCTTCTCAACACCTAATAAGTATGTCTGGCAATCCTGAAAGTGTTAGTTGCAGTATAAGTTCAGTCTATGATGAATACTTAACTGGTAAAAAAATGTTGATAGTGCAAATAATTTTGTGCCTTCTTTATTAACATAAAAATCGTAAAATATTTAAACTAAAATTGTATTAAGAACTGTTTACTATGATCTAACTAATAATACATACACCAAACAAAGTTACCATAATAGTGTATCATTTAGTATGCACAAAATAAAATGTCATTTCAAAAATAATACTTCACATATGAAAATACTTAGAAATTGTATCACTTTATATACTCAATTAAACTTTGTACTGTAAGTATACTATTTATTAATATTTTGTAACTATTTTTATAATTTGACAACTGCATTATATTCCACGTAACACAGACCTTTAACATTTTATCACATTCCATTATTGTAACCTTATTGTAACATAATGATACAAATTACTACTTATCACAATTTTATATGTCTGTACATACATATAAATTAAAACTTCATTATTTAGAATGTGGTTTCAAACTAGTCGTAATCTTATATTAATATTTTTTATAAGTTCCCCATGGTCTGTATATGTGTACTATCATTACTATGACATATATTTTACCATTCAACAATAATATTGTCAAAGTCGTAGAATACTTACGGATATATAAAAATGTGATCTTCGTCATATCCGTCAGTATTCTATAACTATGACGATATAATAATAAACTACTCGAATGAAAAAAAATCAATATGCACTTTTCACCTATAATTAAATAAAAATAATAATGTTAAAATCACATTATAATGATATGCTTATATAACTCATTAAATCGACTTATTACTGTAAATATTATATTTTTTTATTTAATTAAAAAAGTAAAAATTACAGTTTCTACTTGAATATTTTTTTAATAATTGTATTATATCCCCTTCTGTAGAATTATCTAAATCATTATGTATTCATGTTCTTTAATTAATGATTTATCTTGTTATTATTATAATATTATTATTATTCTTCAATATCAATAACAATAACAAGTAGTAAATTTTCAGACTAAATTGATAATGTCATATCTGGTAACATAAATCTGTGATTTTAAATATTATAATGAATGAAAAGTAATGAAATAAAAGGACACCAATATCTTTAACAATAGCTACATTCACACACACACCAGTAATTTATTATTTTCTAAATAACTACTTACTATGTGTGCCTATTTAATATAATAAACCTGTAATAATACCTACATTCCACAACATAATATTTACCTGATTTGTAAGACCAGAGGAAGACTTTGTACAAATGTCGTTTACTTGGGCACCTTCGTCCCAATCGTGTTTCTATGGCAGTGAATTTATAGGCTACAGAGGAATAACACCTGAGTCCTCAGGAATAGCAACGCATGAGGGGTATAATGGGCGAAACAGTATACTCTTATGTCCATGGTACTGCACTATAGGCGATGGTTACCGCTTTCCATCAAGTGGGTTTCTAACTCATACGTGATGTTCATCACTTCAAATATGAACAATTTATTTGTTTAAAATCAATTTTAGCATTGTAAAATGCCACTAAGTTTAATTTTATGTAATGACGTTTCATAGTATGACCATACATTTTAGGCACTTTTTTTTATTATTATATATTCTACCTATATTTTATGTTTTCAATTATCTCTATCCTTGATTTTTATATTTTTTTAACTACAATTCAATGATATTTAAAGGAAAAAATTTTAGAGATGTTATATTGGGTCTGAGATCTGAAAGAGGTGCTTTAAAAATTTGGCTATATAAATGTAATTAACAAATATTGTTTTGATATTTACTATGTCTAGGTATCTTAAAGCAGTATTACCTGTTTCTTTGTTTATATATATACGCATTTGTCACCGATATCTAAATTGAGATAATAGAATTAATGACTACACAGACATTGAAAATACGTAAGTAGAGAAATAACATAAACAATTTTTTTATTGTAAATTGAAAATTTAATTTTTCTTCATAATTATATTATTAAAATTGTTAAACTTATTTCACGGAAATAGTTAATATTTTCAACTTTCAATATAATTATATTTGAAATTCACCATGTCTGGTGACGTGTACTTTCCTCATGTGTCTGACATTAATTAACATACTCTTAACAACAAACTGACAGCTATATTAAAGCAATTAGTTTTTAAAATATAACACAACGCTTTATATTTTTGTAATTTAATTTGCAAAATTTTTTAAAAATAATATTTAATATACTCATGATTGTTATAACTACAGCAGTTGTCAGAGACGTAAGAGAGAGAATTACTTACCTACTTATTACCAAGCATATTTAAATCTCTAACTGCGGTTGCCAAGCGTGGCAACTACTGACAAAACCCCTCAATGGGGGAAGCCTATATTCAGCGGTGGACAGTTAACGGCTCATACAGTATGGTTTATTTAAATCCAACATAGTGCCAGAGGTAGTAAGGCACGAACCTACAGCCGTATTACGTATTAATTTGTATTGATAATGGGTTTTCCACTACCGAAAAGTTAGTATAAAATGTATTTTAATGCATTAAAATTTAGCGTCGGCTAAATTCGAATTCATGATCTTTTGGGATCTGTATAATGTAACATTAGTCCCTGACGACGCCCTAATTATGGTGTTAGTGCACAAAAATATGATTTTGATCTCTTAAGTATTCGTATAAAAATTACGTAATTTATCACATTTAATTATAAGTAGGTAGCACAAGCTCAAATTTATTGTATACTTATTTAACAAAATTACAACTTATAACCTTTATGTCGTATAAATTAAATTTTATTAAAATAAGTTAATTCAAGTGTAAATATAAATGTTTTTGTTAATAAAAGATTTAATTTGTTTATTTACTTTATTTTACTGTGACCTTTTTGATGGACTGCGTACTACTGAGTGATTAGTGCGAGTTGTACAAAAGTTTACATTTCAATAGAAATTTTCGATTTACGCAAATTTTGTACTGAAAACTTACTACGCCTCTAACGGATAGATTTGGAAACTCAGAGTTTCATTCTATACAAATTTATCAGCATAAAAGTGAACGCAGTCGTTCCTTAAAGGCATAAGGTTCTTCAGAGTAGGCTAATTACTGTTAAATCCACAGTTAAAATTGAGTAATATTTACCTAGATAGGTAAATATTATTCAGGTTTTTGATAAATCTTAAATATGCACAAAAAATTAGAACGTTACTTTCTTCGCGAGTGCCTTCTATTTGAAAGTTATTAAAAAAATAGATGAACTTATCGAGACCTAGATCACAGTGTAAGTAACAACTAGTGGTCCAACGACTGTTATATCCTGGATGGAAACGAGAAATTGGGACACACTGTTGAAGAAATGTCGGTTGGACGACTGATAGAAAAAAGTTCTTTAGACTGTGTCTGGACCTTAGGCCTAGATATTTACATTGAACTATACAAAGGATTTTTTGATAATCCGATTAGATTAGTCATTATCTTAATTACATATATTATTTGATACTATATAATTTGATGGCTATTATACTCATTATTCTATAATTTTAATTGGTTATGAATACACCCTAATATGGTAAATGAGAAAATTTGTAATTCGAAATAGTTTGGATTTGAATAGGATTTTGTATACATTTAAATACCTAAGCTAGTTTTTGTTTAAATATATAAAAGTAAAACTGCTATAGTTAATAGTTTTATAAGAGATAATGTGATCGACTCTAAGGCGGCATTCCTCTAAACCTATCCCTTTATCTAATATTTAAGTTTGATAGTTTCGCAAAATTACTATTTTATAGACAATCTTTTAATAATTTTAATTTAAATCGATAGAAATTCAATTTTAATTTTTTTTTTTTTTGTAATATCAATTTGAAATTTATTTTTAGAGATAGACCCCAATGAAATATAATTATAAATAATAAATATTTTTAATCATAAGTTCAGATGATGAGGGGTGTAGGCATAAAATAAATAAAAAAAAATAGTAGTTAATAATTTTATTGAATTATAAAATAACAATAGCATAAAGTAACCAATAGATCACACAATCTCTCAACAATTACACAAGTCACTACGAGCTCACGAAATATAAACAAGTTGCAGAAGTAGCGACTATAACACGGACGAGAAAAATAATAATGGACTCCAGGCCGTGTAATACAGGGAAATATTACATTGTCAAATTTATATCCCTATATACCAAAGGATTTCGTTATTGCTACTACATGGATTGAGATAGCGTTATTCGGCATCTTGTTCTTTATCATATTGCTAGTAATATTATTTTAATCATATTTATGCTCATGTATGGTAACGAAAACGTATCTACCGACAGATTCATTTACTTTTATTTATTCAGTCCAAAGGTGCAAGATTGAAGCAAAGAGTGACTTAATTACTTCTAAAGTATTAGGTTGCATATTACAAAACAAAGAATTGATATAAATAGTGCATCAACAGCTGCTTAAAATAACCTAACCAGGATCCTATAACATTTAACAGTGTAATATACCCTTAATTTAGTACAATCACATCACAAATATGTTTGTAATTATCAATTATCGACACACTAAATGCTTCATTAACAGTCTACACGGCGCAGAGCCTTAAGACAAAAATGCATAAATATTCATAATCTTGTAAATAGCTTTGCATAAACTCTTTTAATTTTTAAAGGCATAATTGTTATTAACAGCACCCTTTATATGATATTCTAGACAATATAATTTTATGCTGTTTCTCGCGTATTTTAATATTAAACATGGTACTCCAACATTCAAACTCCTTTATAAATCACAAAAATCATGGCCACAACACACACGGTCCTTTATTTTACAATCGTATCAGGGATTCTGCTAGTGAATTGATACATAGTATCTTTGTGACTTTATTAGGTACAATCGTTTTTTTTTTTTTTAATTTTTTCAAAAATTCAGTGACGCATTCTCGAGATTCTAAAGACATTGCATTGGCTCACTAAAATTGTTGCAACTGATGCTTGAAGTAATTCGAAACTAGCCTCCAAAAAACACTAACTTCCGCGTATAGATTTTTTTTTTAAATTTCGTTTTCAACTAAAATTATTCAGGTTTAATAAAAAAAAATGGCCAATCATTGATGCAAAAAGTATCGTGTGTATTATGGTTTTACTTACTAACGATATCAATGATCCATCAGTATTACAAACAATACTTATAAATATTTTGTTCATTAAAACATTGATGCGTACGTGCTAGAGGTATCATACGTTATCGAGATTTCAGCAAAATTATACCTACAATCTTATACGATATAATATTTATTCAGACATTGTGCAACAAAGATATGAAATGATAAATACAAAATAATTTTACTGCATCACAAATACTGTAGTGAAAATATTTATTTATATACAAAGCAATAGATAAAATGTGCATTATGGTATTCCAGCGTGGTATTCAAGCCATTACAACATAAAAGTATTTACTCGTACCCAAAAAAAAATTGAGCATAATTTTTATCGTTTTATTAAAAATATATATATATATTATTTATTTATTTATTTAAATTGTGATACATAGGTAACAATGGATGGTAAAACAAGATAAGTCCTCTATGATCAACCCCATATATCAAGAAGAAGTCACACGGGGCCAAATACGGTCACCGTAATGGAATTTTTACTCAAAAACTCACGGAACGATCTTGGCGCAAATTTTTTTCATTTGAAGTTCGTTTCTTAGAATTTCGTGGACCACGGTTTTGCCCAAATTAAGCTCTTCAGCCACCTGTCTGACCGTTAAACGACGGTCCCCATTAACACAAGTTCGAATTCTTTCCACGGTATAAGGTTCCTTCACAGCATCATCCCCAAATTTGCTAAAAAAAATTGCTATGGTGCTCAATATAGCAAAATGTTTAATAGAATTAAAATCTTCAAATATAACACCAACTGACATACAATTAAATTGTCCCACAATTTCCTATGTAGGTATACCCATTTTTTGGGATCATACTTTAAATGCTTTTGCTTCGGAGTTAAAACTATATAGCCTGATTATAATAATTATTATACAAGCATGTTATCGATTAATAAGCTACTGAATTCTGGTGCGGAACAGATATTGGCTATAATTTGATTTTAAATACAGTGTAACCTGCACAGTAACAATTTAACAATAAAAAACTGCCATTACGCAAGTCAAACATCTATATCCATGATTTTGTTCAAATTGTTAAGTAAAGTTATTATCGTAAATTTATGATTCATTTTTAAGTGAGCGTTCTTATAATCTTTGGTTTTAATTATGCAATGTTAGTTTTTTATCGTTTTACTTAATAAATTATATCAAAATCTGAGTAGAGTTTAAAATTGTTTGTCGCAGACTACTTTGTTAGCGATTCTTCGTTTTTATAAGGTCGTCACACATTATAATGTGGTGCAAGTTATATACGATGTCAAATTTCAATACTTGTTTTAAATTCGTGCAAAATTCGGAATGTTTGAAACACGAGTGATTGCTCACTTTGTTTTTTTTTTCTATTTATTGCATACAGTAATGAGATCTGAATAAAAAATAATCTAAAAGAAGTAATGCCTTAAACTTTACGACACTGACATAAGGTTTAGTTTAATCAAGCATCATATCAATTGTTTATTTTTAACCGCACCAGAATAGGGATAGAATAGATTCGTTTAATTGGACGATCATTTTCACTAAACAATCATACACAGTTTTAACCATTCTCGTAATTTTTAATTTGTCTTTTAATATACTAAGGTTAAATTTATTCTTAACTAATTACTAACAACTAAAAATGGTAGCATTACATGTAAAAAAATAAACACAAAATAATCACTCTTATCTCACTCTGCAAATTTTAAGCTCTGACAAGGATTGATTCACAAGAGATTGCATTTTATTATTAAGTAGAGGATCATGTTAAAATTTTAAAATCTATCCTGAAAAAGATGCTTTGTTAATTAGGAAGCCATTTTTAGAAAAAAAAAATGTTTATATTTCGAACCAATTATGGCTTATTACTATAAATTAAGGACATTAATTTGTGACTACATATTAAACAAAAATCCAACATCCAGTAACAAATAGACGAATTTATATATTTTTAAAGGACGATCTAAAAATGGATCCTTTATGCAAACACTGCGATTATATGATTATTAATTGAGAATTGTTCAGGATTTTATATTCGATTCGTGTTCCTCAAAAACAGTTATTTAATTTCACCAATGCTATTGCTAGATTTTAATCACTCGTTTGTTAGGGTAAGCGTTATCTACGAAATTCTATATCGCGGGTTTTTCTTGCCAGTGTGCAATGCTTCACTATGTGTTACAGAATTCAATACATACAAAATCAGTTGCAAAATTCCAATTATAAGCTAAATAAGTAAAATTTCTAAACAATATTGATACGTATGTATATTAAACACACACATTAATCATTTACAGTCTTCAAAATTTTTATCTTTTATCACAAATTAAACCGTCACAATACCACGAAAATTATGTCATTTACATACGAGAGGACACTTCTACATATCAACTGTACAAGGTACGTATCAATTATACAAAAGAAAATGCTAACGAACGTGTTAAACACGCATTAATAGGATTCCATATCTCTCTTTAAAGTTTTTAACTTGATTGGTCATACTTCTTTACATTATTCATTAATTTATATGTTTATATTTCAAAAAAGTAGTTGTCAATAAAAGCAGTGCCAGTGGAGTCGATTCTGTGGCACCATTATCTAAATTTGAAAATTTCAATTTGATATAAAAGCGAAACCTTTAAGGACCATTATGAACTAAATTTCTAATAGATTTAAGTCAAAATTATTATCATCTTATTTTTTGATGGATTGATTTTATATGATAATTTGAAATAAAGAATATTGTAATTTGGAAAATGTTTGGACTTTATAATTGTAATATAATGTAGACTTAAAACCATTTTAACATTTACATACCTCTGCATGTTATGTGCCTGTATATGTATGTAACTTCTTATTGTAGCATGTAGCAAGCGAATAATATATGATTTGAGTTGATGGTCCATAAAATAGTACTTTCGTGATAGTATCAAACTAAAAAATTAATTTTAGAGAAAGGCTCCTCAGAATCGACTGCAGTATGTTTGATAAGTAGTAGCAATGCTGACGGAATTTTGCACTGTTTTAGTAAAAACTACTGTTTCTGATATTTGTTTAGGGAACCCTAAAAAACTACGATACTTACGATAATATAAAGTAGTTATACTAAAATTATTGTTACTACCACTATGTCAGGCAGTGTGAAGGTACATTATAAAATTACACTATATTAAAATAAATTCGCATGCACAGTAAAATAAATGTATTGTAAAATAATATAATTAAAGTTTTGTGACTTTGTGATGATTATTGTTTATATATTCATTGTTTTATTAATGTTATAAATATTAAAATTAAATCACGCTTAAACGGTTGAACGATTTTGAAAAAAAATTTTATATAGAAAGACTATATCTGAGAATAAAACAAAAATTTTTCTGCTTGATGATAAAATTGAACGTTTGTAGATTCCAGCTAATCAAATACCATATCTGTTTAGTACAGTTAAGCAATACCTAAAATGTAACACCTCTGCTTACCCTAGCTGGGATTACAATCGCAAATATATATATTTTTTCTATTAATTAATATAAAAAATAATAAAAAGGATAAATATTTACGAAAGTAACAAAAAAGTATTAAAATATTTTTATTGATTATAATAAATAATATATTTTTGAAAATAAATCTGTACATTATAAGTGATTTTTACGTGAAATATAGAAAAAAAAGCAAAAAATTTTTACACTGGATTTAAATAATTATTTACTGAAATTCACATATTTGGACGTTAGATACATTGGTCATAGATGTGTTACTAAGATTTATTTAGGTAACAAATATGAAGTATATGTACTTACAATATGACTATACATTTTTACTAATTTGAAATTGGATTTTGACGTTAATATTTTTTACTAAATTATCTAATTAATATAATTACATTATATTATTTATATTAAAAATGAAATAATGAGACTAGTTAAACGTTGTACCGATTACACTTAATAAAGACAGAAATTATTTATTTTAACTTTTTAACCGCTGCAGTCCATTTTACTCTACAAATAATGTTTTGCCTATTCTGGCCCTATCATTTGTTTTTTTTTTTCAGTTTATAATGACAGAATATAGAGCTGTTTACAATTTTTTTTAAATTACCTAAAACCAAGTATAGTATAAACTCGTAGATTTATGTTTTAGGGGCAAAGGAACTGCAAACAACAAAGTAGTCAAAAGGTTAACAGAGTATCCCTTATTTTAAGTTAGTTAAAAGTCAGCTGTGTTTGGTTGATCTTTATTTGAAACCATGGCAGTGGGAAAGTCTTTGAATCGCCCCTCTCGTGTCGAATAATATAAGTATCAAGCTAAGCTTGGTATTTTTGTCTATTAGAATAGCAAAGACATTAATTAGATACATTTTTTTTTTTATAATTTTGTGAATGTCAAAAGACAACACACAATTTTCAACAAAACTTTTTTTTAACATCACAATTTGGTATCTTTAAATTTTATGATTTACAATTGTTCACGCATTACTGCGTTATGAACACGAACATAGAGACAAACAATGCAAGTACCTTCATTAAGAACTAAGTGTGTCACTACTGAACTACACGCTTTGATTGTCCAATAACTATTAACAACAAAACATTACTGCACTAACCTCTTTCGAAACGTAGTGCTGATTTTATTAATTCAATAAACATTTTTTCATATAATCATTTTTTGTTGAAATTCCGAATTGAAATTTCTAAATCTCCGGTCAACAAACCAAACCAACCCAAATGACCATGTTAGACACAAATATACAAATGTGAGCTTGTCTCCGACTGATCCATTAGGAATTACAGTCGTAAGCATTTTCTGGCTCTGTTGTGTCTAATTTGGGGCCAAAGATTGGCACGCATAACGATGGAGTAATGGTGACAATTGCGAAGTGAACATTTATGCAGGTAATTCCGGTCGGTTGCCCACTCCGCCGGCTAAATCGAACACCGCTTGCGACACTTCCACTGCCAGTTTGTCGGCCTCCTGAAAATAGAGTAACATCAAGTTGATTGACAGGCTGAATTAATTTTAAGCTTTATTCTTTTCGTCGCCTCTTACGACATCATAGGCGTAAAGAGTAACTTTCTTATATAATAAAATTATAGCTAGACGTTGTCTGTACATGGGTTTAAAAAAAATATATAGGAGAGGTCTTAATAAGACCAATAATAGAAGCTAAAATAAAATGTAAATTGAACTCTACTATGTTTTCGTCCTACACTATGTTTGCCTGTACGGTGTTGGCACTCAAGAAACTTTCTTTCCCGTCGGTTGTCGGTTCTTCGAGCTATATGATCAGCCAATTGCCACTTCAGCTTGCTTATCCTTCTAGAAATGGTCTATTTCACTGGTTTTCCTACTTTTTAATTTAAAATAAATACCTACCTGTTGAGTGTCAGATTCCGCGTAGACCCGTACAATGTCCTCGGTCCCCGATGGCCGAACGAACGCTCGTCCGTTCGCGTATTTGCCAACCAGCTCGTCGATCTTCAACTGCAGACCTTCTGGCGCCGTGCATTGGCGTTCCGCGTCCGTTGTTGATATGGCGTTGCGGTCCTGTAGATTAACTTACTAATAATACCCCTTTTTATGTTTTTACCTTTTTTATATTATATATTTACTAGTTATTACACAAGACCGGGATAAAATTTGTCGTTCTCTATCCCATAGCCTGTATACCAAATAACATAGTGATTGGTTATCTATTAAGGTCCCAAAAGGTAGCAAATGAACTCATTTTCACATTTATAATATTAATAAAAATTGTATTGTCTACAATCCAAATGTAAATTGAACCTTTTTCCACACTAAGCCTCTCGTTTGGGCTCATTTGTGCGTAGGAGATTGTATTGTCTATCTCAGTATAATACTTGTAAGTGTACATAAAAATTTAAAAGGTCTTCTTATTTTTTAGTCTCCTAATAGATCACAATATTGCAATCTGAATTGGGAGGTAGAATCTTAAAAAAAAAATACTATTCAAAAATGTTTTCTTAAATCCTATTAATATTATAAATACGAAAGGTTGTAAGGATGGATGGATGTTTCTTACTATTGCATGTAAAAACTACAGAAAGGATTAGCATAACATTTAGTACACAAATAGGTTACTTATTAACTTAACACACAGAATACTTTATGTATTGAATACATAGCTGAAACTAAGTTAGTTTAGTAAAGTTAGTTAGTAAAAAGATTTCTTTGTATTACATAGTTATTCTTTAGTATAAGGCGGACTTGATGCTAAAACAATTCTCTCCCAGTGTACCTAGTAGTTGTGGTAGTGTAAAAAATGAATGTCTAGTTTTATACCTGTACAGTGACTTTAAGCTGGCGACAGGGCAAGTCTGTATATGCAGCGAGCCACTGGCGAACATTTTCTCCGCGGGCACACAGAATCGTCTCAACCAGAAACAGATCCGAGATAGCATCGCCGACTGTCTCGTTTGTTATATCGATGATGTTCAATAGAAGTTCCGCTGCTTTCCTTTGCTCTGGCTCCCTGAATGGAAGATAAAAAAAATTTACTATTTCTTTATCCATTTTATTTTCAGGTCTTTCACAGCATAGATAGACAGAATTAAGTGTTCAAGACCTCTATCGATTTCATGCTTTATAACATATGAGAACCATACCCCTAAATAATATTAAACTGATATTGATCTTAATGAATAGTCAGAGGCATTTGTTAAATTACATTTCGTTGAGCATTTTAGAATTCAACTATCGGCAAAGTTATTACTGCCATTGGATTATTTATTTTGTTATCGACGTTTATCGCTGTAAATTTATTAAGAAATTTAAATTGATATAATTTCTGGCATCTACTATATACAGTGTTCTACTGGAGAAACTTGAATACAATGTACCTACTAGAGTGCCACGGCATCCTTGCAATCTATTTAAAAATGCAGCTTGCAGAACAAACTTGGGCCGCGAATCACCTATCGTCCGCATAACGCGTCTGTATAATGATATTGTAAAAACCAAGCCTGAACTTGATATTCACAACGATTGTCACTCTGTGTTCATGGCTAAATTAAAATGTTGATGTACCTCGCCATTGCATTTTATTTATTTATAATTTAAAATAATTAAATTACAATTTCCATTATTTATATTATGTTATTATTCATATTGTTAATATCTTTGCTTATTTAATGACATTTAATAATTTAATTATATTTTAATGTTTATTAAACACAAGGCATGCTGTGGTTATCTATAAATGTAAGAACAGTTAGATTTAATCTACCAGTGTATTGTATTGAAATGTTTAGCTGTATCTTATGTTGGTAAGCCTATAAATAAATAAATGAATAAACTCCAATGCGATCCTTAAGTAAAAGTAACAGTATAACAATGGTCGTCAACAGATTTTCATCTTCATTTATTAATTAATTGACAAAAAGTATACTGATTAATTTATTTACACAAATACTTGTACGAGCTTTCAGTTAATAATAGTCAATGAAAGTACTCACCCTTCGAGAGTGATTTTCCTGATTGTGTTCTTGGCATTTTGGCTGTAAAGAACTGTGCCGTGACCATTGGCTTCAAAATAAACACCGATGTCGTATGCAAGAGCCGCGTGGTGTAGATGCTTCACGCCTGTTTTGACACATGTCACTGGTACTTTCTGAGAAATAGAAATAAAAAAATAAATAAGTATCATTTTGTAATCCGCATATTATTGATCATCAATATACCTATATTATTTTAATAAACTACTTTACGGTGTAATACTTAATAAAAAAAATTCTCTTATTCATTATTACAGACTAACTTTTACCATTTCACAATGTGGTCTCAGCATGGGCCGCACCTTCCTTTAACGTACATGTCGTAAAAGACAACTGTGGGAACTTGATGGACAAGGAATGGACAGCAGCCAACCCACCTGCCAAACGTGGCAACTACTGGCAACACTTACACCACCCCCCCCTCCTGCCCCTAATGGGGGAGGCCTCTGTTCAACAGTGAACAGTTAACAACTGTTATGATAAACTTTTACGTCTTCGTCCGCGTGACCAGGATAAAACCTATGTCCCTCACACGTAGTACATGTATACCAAATTTCATGGCAATTGGTCAAGCCAAGAGCTTAAGGTGTTAAGAAATAAACAAATTCAAAATCCTTACATTTACCAACTCATGTTGATAAATCCTATGATTTACTGGTTAAACCTAATATTTGCTCATGTACGGACGTTTATAATGGCATATAAACACAAAAAAAACAAACATAAAATTGAATCAAAAGTCAAATATGCATACCAATTCCTCAGTAATGTATTTAGTGGAGGCACCATTTGCATACGCCGTCTGGACGAGTCCCAACTTGAGGTCTCGAGCTTCGCACGTATTCAGCAGCTCGGTGATATAGCTCGCGTACAGAGTCGCGATACGGTCGCCGTCTAATAGGTGCATATTTTCTCTGTAATAACATAATATTTAGATTAATATAAAACGAAGTCGTCGAATTTCTCACTTTACACATACAAGTTTCACCGTCATTTAGATATTTTTTACGAAAGGCCTGTAAGTACAAGTCGCACTCGTGCAAAGTTGAAATGGGTAGCTAGTATAATTTAACAACTATAAAAAATTTAAAGAAAAGCTGGAAATGGCAATACTGACATGATAGACATGATATCGTGATATTATAGCGGATATTTATCACATCTTTAGACTAGTAATAAACATTGATTCTGGAGGGAAAGAGATTATAAGTAATGGAATCTAACATTCCCATTGTTAGTAATATACTTTATCAGGTCGACCTCCACTCAGTTCTCTCTGGAAACGAGCGTGGTTAATTCTTGAATACGTCACGATGGGATAACTGACCTGCTTTCTTACTCACCTATCATTTCTCACTGGTGTCTAACCAGTGTATACCGATAGATAAGCAGGGTTGCCATACCATTGACCATTAAAAAAATACACATTGATTCTCAATCAATTCTCAGTGGAGTCAATTTTAATAAACTTGGCTCGTTTGTATATTGTGCCGTGCCCCCAAAATATTAATTGTCTGGTTTCCATAATACTTATTTTTTATTAGCGAATTTGTCGAATAGATTCTAAGAGATAACAAAGGAACCAACAAACTCACTTTCTCATTTATAATATTAGTAAGTATCATACTTGTCGTCCAGGAAATAGTAGATAAGGCGATCACCGTCGCCGTCGAGCGAGGCCACCCGTTGGAAAGGCACATGTTCGACTCCCACCGGCGGCTTCTGCGACACCTTCACAAAGTCCGCGCCGCACTGATACCACAAACATATTTTACATTTAATTTTTTTTTTGTGATTGAAACATTATTGCATGTATAAAATAAATTTAATATATGTTCTTTTACAGAATGTATAACAAAATTAATATAACCAGGATCTGACGTGGTCATTTATTGGCTGTCAAACATAATGAGGTCTGTACACGTGTATATAACGAGCAATGAACTCTAGAATACACCTCATTAAAGAGTGAAAAAAAAAACAAAAGAAAAAATATATTTCGAGAGAAAAGCTGGAAATGGCAATACTGTACAGAGTAACAGTATTAATATATTGTTTACATGATTAATAACATTACGAAATGTAGTTGCAATTCTCATTCACGCAATAATTTTTTAATGTAAACTATGACTAGTACAGTCAGCATCAAAAGTAGATTAACACACATCTAGATACACAAAATTGAATACGTGTACCAGGAAACTAAACATGACGATTTTTTCGGGCGATACAAAACATCAAAAATATCAGTTACAACCGTTTATAGTTTATACATTTTTTTTTTCTTAATTTTAATGCTTTTTTATTTTAAATAGTAAATCGTTTAATATCGATAATATTATAATTATAATATTAAATCCATACTTAATGAATTAATAATGTTTAACTTGAAATAAAAATAATTAACACTTACATTTAAGTTCAATTTGCCGCCATTGCCACCCAAATTGTACAAATTAAGGTCCAGTTCCCCATCTAAACTCTTTCTGATGATGTTCAGCTTCTTGCCGCCAACTCCGTTCGCGCCGTCCACGTATAGTGTCGTATTGTACTCTCCGAACACTGGCAGCTTTTGGCGAATATTCTTAAATGCACCGACTATCTTTTCATAATACCCTGGAAAACAATTAAATGCTGGCATAGGATCATTTTCAGAGACTTTTCGGTCAAAATAGAGTACTTCGGACAGCATTTCACAACATATGTACTTGAGTCTGTTATGGGTATGTACTAATATAGGACGAGCGTTAGAATAAACCCTAACGATTGTAAAAACAAATATGTATCAACGTCAATTAAAAATTTAATGAAAATATCGCCTTACATATAGACAATTAAAGATTGTGTCCTACAAAAATATACCCACTTTAAATCTAGCAAAACTTGTCATTTTGATATAAAAATTATTTTTTTTATGGGACCAATCTATAATCTAATAATATCCTTTCAGACAAAAAAAAATCTCATATCAATTTACAACTGATGGAATTATGATGTAACAAACACAAAAAAAATAGAACCAAATAGAAACCCCCTTCTTTTTAAAGTAGGTTGATATATAAGGGCTAATTGACATACAACCTCGCATAGGTACAATCTAACATCTACACAAGCCGTTATAAATTATTTTACACGTGCCATAACACGAAGAAAACAATTAAAATTTATTATTATTAATTCGTCTTGGTGGGTAACGTAGTTAGTCAAGTCACGTTCTAATATAGGTACTAACTTAACTATGGCGTATAATATTTATATAAAAATAGACACTCCATCATCTACATAAGACACATATAACCGTGCACGAGCGCCATTAATATTTTTGTAATTAATTATTCCTATAGCATAAGCAACTGTCTATTCCTATGCAAGTATTCTATCTATTCATAGCATTATTTAATCTGTACCATCATGAAAAAATAATGCATGTATTTTTTTATTTCGGTCTCTCATTTGCACTGATGTATTTCATATTTCCTGTAATCACTTCTTACAAAATCTAGCTGACGAAAAGCATAGAAATCACAACTATTCCATAACATATACATATATTAAACTTAATATTATAAGTGTGAAATTGTGTAAAGAAATTTATTTACTTAAATTTCAATGTACAATTATATAAGTAAGTGTATATATGGCGGACTTAACACCTAATGGCGTTCTTTTCAAAACAACTTAGAATTAAATAAGATTTAAATTACAATATTTGTATGTGTGTTACTCAACCACGCTTCAATGACTAGACGGATTTGAATGAAATTTGAAACACTGGTAGGTTACATCATAACCAAACATAATTATTCACATGGATAAAGCCACGGTAAACAATTAGTCATCATTATAATTAGTATGTAGTAGTCTACATACTAATAATAATATGGTAAATATATTTCACTTTCTTTTTTTAATATATTTCACACTCTCCCACACACATACATTCAAATTACACTCTACACACAGGGAGCACATTATTTCACAATTTTCATTATTGCCAATTGTTATAATTAGATAAACTAACTTTATGTAAAATCAATATTCTATATGTAGCACTAAAAATTTAGCTGAACTAACATTATACTATGTAATGAGGGTTGAGCGCTGTTGTCTGAGATACAGGTTTTATAACCTAGTTCAGACACAGATGTTTAAACTGATTCCAAATGTACAAATGAATTCGTATCTACTTTTACTGTAATTTCCAGTGCTGAGTTTGTTAAAATCATGGTTATGCAATAAAATTATTATTATATTTACCTTCCTCAGTGGGCGTGCCATACTTGTTGTCATTGCGACACCTCACACAGAAGTGCAACATTGGTGTGGTCACAATGCCCAACTCCTTGGGCGTTCCCTTCAGCGCTATAACACCATTAGATGCCGCCGCCGCCAATCGGGGACTTGTATACCTAAAATGCAAGCAAAATTTTATTCAATTACATATTGAAGTTTTATCATTATATGTTATATTATTTTCTATTGTATATATATAAGCCGTGTGGTCCTGGCATAGAATAGGCCATCGCTTCCCTTTCCGTGAGTGTCGCAAGAGGAGCAAGGTGTTGCCCATTCCTCGCCCTCCCTTAGTCGGCGCTATTATAATACCTAAGGAAGGGGTAGCCTATTCTATGCTGGGATCACACGGCCAACAACACAATGTTAACCAGAAATTTAAATTAGCAGATAATATTTTTTTGTGCCCAATCTACAATGAAATGAAATTTCAAATTTTTGAACTCAATTTCATGTTTTTGTTCACACCAAAACCGGCCCAGTAAATCTAGTTGACGTTAAATTTTTCATAAATCCTGCAATAAAAGTCTAAATTAACGATAGTTTTAAAATTTTTGTTTTGGTATGTAACGTTTAATTTTATGGTAGGCATTCAGACTAGGCACAGGATAGGGCTTAAAGATAAAATCCCTTAAAAATAAAATAAAAGTTAAATATTTTAAGAGACACAAAAAGTATGTAAATCTGTTGTTCGCGTCTATAGGTGACGGGTACCATTTGTTACAGGGGGGGGGGGTCATTGGTTTGTTTGCCATTCTAAATATTAAAGAACAACATCATAATATCAGTTTTCTAAAGTTACATACCTTGTGTCCATTCCAATGAAGACACTAGCCTTCAGAGACATATCAGCTTTGACCTCCCTGATCACCTGCTCAGTGGTTGATTCCAAGTCATTGTCACTACGATTGAGAAATTAAAAAAAAATAATATAATAATCATATAGTAGATGCTAATGGATACCACAGACGTGAACAATGATGTCTTTAAAGAAGATACATATAAAACTCAACTAAAATATATTAATGGGACATAATTCTATTCGCAATTGAATGTATAGAATTGTCCAGAACAAATATAAACATATTATACGTCAGTTAGACCATTACTTTTACGACTTAGGTATTGAGAACGTTCAAATGGACTCTTAAAATAGCACCCCACTATTATAACCCTATTGACATACATATCAGAATATTTATCTCGTCGTATTATTGGTTTAAATCCTTAGATTTAGTTTAAACATATTTTTACATGACATGACAAAATATAAAATAAAACTAAAGAACTGTGTCACGTAACTCGCTATCAGCGTTCACTGTCCCAATGAAAAAAAAAAAAAAAACAGTGCCAGTTTAAACCGCTATTAGATTATAAAAAAAGTTTACATCGATAATAAAATATCATTATTTATATATCTATATCAAATTTCATAATGATCGGTTAAGCCGTTAAGATACTAAGAGTTGTCATACAAACGATTTTGTTAAGTTAAAAAAAAAGAAACAATTTTGTAAAAACAACATCCCACACACGCTTAGTCATTTTCTATATACGAGTATGGCACTCGCAAGTGTATAAGATGAACTAAATACCAACTTATGAATTTCTCAATTAACATCAATATTTTACGACACGGTTTTATTTCATCGGCATAATTAATACAGTTTACATAACATCATACAACATACCTACATTTAACTAGGTAAGTCAAAACTGACAGATCTTTATTTGTGGTAATTTTCGTGATGACACTCGGCTTTATGAACATGTGCCTTACGCAATGCCATGAATTCCATTTTATGCAAAAAAAATACGCCGAAGATTATCACGTGTCACATTTAGGACTCTAAAAAGTACCATAATTACGTTTTAAGAGGGTTCATACCGAATATTGACAGAATGTTGTAGATATGGCAATATCTACAATATTCTGTCAATTTTCGATATTTATTTAGTATGCACTGTGTCTTTTCCTAAGAACAGGGAGTTTGTCTTTTCTAATCTTGACACTTGTTGACTTTATTGAAATCCTGATAAAGTAAAAATTATATAAAAAAAAACAAATAATCTACTTTTGAATACTTAAAAAACGCTAAGATAAGAATAAAATCATATAATAAGTTGCACTTAAATCTACCATTAAAAATTTTCAACTACTTTATTATTTTCCAAACATTTATAATCGTCCTCCAAAATTTTAGTAACATTTAATTAATAGAAACGTTTATTGGCATTAATAAAGTGCCTTTTATATAAATATTTAGACACACTAAAACATATTTTTGTAAAGTTATCAGGAAGCCTAAGAAGCAGACCTTACGCTGGTAAGAATAGGATGTGCTGTGCACCTTGCTACCGAGTTTACTCGTAATAGGCTTCACGCGCTGAGTGTAATCTTAACGGAAGAGACACATTTACATCGTAAAGCCAATGCATAGGATCTATAAAATAATAAAACAAGATAGAGGGAAGTACAAAAGATCTCGATGGGTCGACAGCGTCAGTAAGCTGACCTCAAAGGTGAATTAAAGATAAGATACGTCGGTCGCATTGCTTTGCCGTTCGATGTTCTTCGGCTTCGATTCCGGCACAATGTTTGTAACATTTGTATTAATGAGTATGTCTGTGTGTATTGCGTGGGTATTTTCTATGTATAAAATGTATAACTGTGAATACATTAAAAAAAATATATCTACCAGTTGTTATCTATCACTTGTCTAATATACACAGTACAAGCTTTTCTTAGTTTGGGAATATATGGTATCGTGTAATATATCCGGTCATTCGGTGACATTTTTTTTTTATTGTGACTTTTATAACGAGGTTTTTAAGGCCTCTGAATATGAACGCTCTTAGTACACATTGATAAATGCAAGCCATAACGTAATACCTGACATTTGCAAGTCTCGTAGCGATCTCCTCCCAGCTCTGCTCCAACATCTCACCATCGGGGTCGACAAGCTTCACACCATTGTCCGGTTCCAGGTTGTGCGATGCAGTGATCATTATGCCAATTGTGCGACCTATAGGTAAAGTAGGCAGAATTGCAGCTGTTGTAGTTATGTATATTGGTTTTACTGACCTTTTAAATTTAGGGATGACCGACTAGCTTAGGGCTCAATGGGAGGCCTTTCATGAGCGCGGATCATGGTTGTATTGCAAGCAGAAGTACAAAGTTATCCAATAAGTTTATCTCTCCAGCATTTCGAGTACACCAACATCATCATAACACATTAACATTCCATATGTGGAAACAGCACTCTAGACAATATACAAACGAATCTATTGACAGAAACGTTATCACAAGCGAGTGCATAAGATAAAATAAGATAGCACTGTGCGCTGTCTTGTTCTTTTTCATGTGAGCGTTGATCGAAACGATTCTATCAATCGATTCGTTTGTACCTTGTATAAAGGAGTAGAGTTCTCCTCAGAAATACATATCAAACAAAGATCAGGATAGATGTCCTGAGTATCACTAATAGTGGGCAAACAATTTAATTTTTTTTTTTTTGAACTTTCATCTCTTTAATTAGTAACAGGACTAATCACTTAACGATTACGCTTCATATCCAAGGAATCACATAAAAGTATCAACAAACCTATTGGTAGAGACCAATGTAATGATAGAATGCGGTCGTTGGCATCATGCCAATATAATACAAACGCACACATAGGTAGAGGTAGTCGACGGAAGTACGTCAATTTATATGAAAAGTAAGCGTGTCAATAACTACTTGCCTTGAAGTTTCAAAGGCTATTTTTTGACAGCAAACCCTCCCTCACACTAAACTCTATTAAAAATATCACCAGTAAAGTCATTATGTCATCCTAACTTCTGCAGACATACCATATATGCATATATATACATTTATATATATATATATACATATATATAAAATTTTAACCCGAGTCAATAGTCCTATATTGAACTAATATTTACGATGCCGAATAATATCAAAAGAATAAAATTAAGTACTATTTCATACAAATTATATATTCTGATCACATAAAATTTCTCAAAATAAAGAAGGAAGGAAGGATAAGGTCTGATAACTAGTTATTATTATAATAATCTAAATAGGTACTTACCATTCTTTACACGCGATCGAATTACCGCAAGCAGACCCATGCGGTAAACTACATGTTCCAGTAAATTTGCTCTGAAAATAACAAAATGTATTCATTGTTAAAATAATGTATAATTCATGTTCAAAGAATGCGTATAATAAACAATATTTCGTATATGAGGATAAACGGAATCATTTATGATCTTGCTCCGCAAAGAAAAAAAAACAACTGCAACCGTAGGAAAACTAATATGAAATCAAACCATTATGAAACTGTATTAATTTCAAAAAGATTTATTGAAGTATGAGAATTCAGAATTGACGAAATTATATTTACACACCCAAACAAAATACAGATGTATTGAGATTTTTAAGGGTCATTTTTAAACTTAAAAACTGGGGCAAGCTTGAGTCAATACTCGTGCGCCAGGTTTCGTGTGTCCCTATTTAAATTATCCACTATCAAGATTTCATATTAGATTACGGACTAGCTTTATTCTTTTACGATTTTGCCAGTACCCACTTTAAATTTGAATTCAGAATAAGATATATAAATAATAGATTATCTATCTATATATGTATATACTGAATTATATTCAAATTCATTAAGCTGTTTTTGCGTAATTAGGAACTAAAATATCTAAACATTTTCGCAAACTTTCACATAATTTATAAATACCAAAGTAGTATTAAAATGAAAGGATAGATATTATACTCAATTTTGATCATCTAAATCTTTCAATCCTATTCTTGGCAAACTTTACAATAGACTGAAATAGACCGCCACAAATCAGGCCATGTCAATTGACTTAAAATATAGTCCATGTTACCTCCTGTCCTGACAGATGTGAATGAACTCTCTATTCCATACACATGGCAAATAGACAGTATACCTACGGTTATGCTTGGGCTTGCGCCCACAATAACGTTTTGCAATTCGTTTGTTCGCAAAGAATGTTTGATTTCGTTATAGATATTATAGCCCATTGGAAATACCTAGTATTTTTTTAGTTCTTACTAATACCTAGTTTTTTTTTTCTGTACATTAGGATAGGATAGATTTCTTGTAACTTAAAAAAGAACTCGAAATAATACTTATTTATTTAACGTAGGCTAGTTAATATCTTAGGCAGTAAGTAGGCTAATTAATATTCCAGTTAGTAAGTAGGCTAACTAATATCCTAGTAAATTGGCTAATAAATATCCTAGTAAGTAAGTAGGCTAATGAAGGCAAATTTTTCGCGTTTTTTAAGTGTCTTAGAATGGCATACAAGCTGACAGTTCACATGTCCATCATGTGGACCATTAAATGGTAATCACAATGCGTCAAGTATTAAACCTACTCCCTTCACTTTCCTAGTAAGGTAATGAGACTTAGGTAATAAAAGGTAAATAAAAGTTCAAGAAAGATTTTAATTTACAAACAAACAAACTATCAATAACTACATAAACACTTAAATATGTAATTTACCTACAAAAACCAACTCACGGACCTATTTTACCTTAACTAAGTGCATATTTCTATAACAAGTTTCATTCACAAGTGTAAAACTTGATCAAAACAAAAGCACTTACGTAAAAAAATTCTTTATGATTAAGTAGGTATCTACTGTATATTGTATTACCAAATCACTGATTAGCTAATCTATACATGTAATAAGTACAACTAGACCATGTCTAGGGATTTTTATGAAATTTGAAGTGATAATAACTTACTACCTGTGTCACTTTATGTGCATAGTATTTTTCACTGGCAAAAAAATATGACATTCCTATGGAAAAATATAAGAAACATATAATTGAACAATAAACAAAAACATGTCTGAGAACACATATGCAACTTTTAAGAGATCAGGTGCTTCCTAAAAATAATAATCTTAACTATGCCAATAATAAAGTCTAATAATCTACAATTGTGTTATGAATAAATGTATTATCAGTAATATTAACGTGTTTGTGGAACAAACAGTAAAGGAAATGATCCCAAAGTAGCTGGCCATCTGCCAATATCTATATTTTAGTACCTGAAAGATCAAAGATGTTTTTATGACACATTTATGCGGTTAGAATGTTGGGTTCATAAATGTCTTTTCTAATTTTATAGGTCAAAATACTGGGTTATTTATCATTTTGTGGATATAAATGGATTATTTTGCTAATAGAATGCAAACTCTTCATTGTGATAATTAAGGAATGGAATATTTTATTGCAAGATAGGGGTTTAGCTACTTTAACTACTATGTGGTAAATGCAAAAATATAATCATTTCTGAAACATTCAAAGACATTTTTTTATAAATGTATGTTTACAAAAGTATGTCTTTATGTGTGATGAGGACAATAGAAATAATAATTTGTTTGACGAAAAGTAACCAAATAAGAAACACAATATCCCACCCAAGAGCTATTCTAATCAATTTCACCAGCCTTTTCAGTCTAATAAAATGTTTATTTTCCTTAATGGTGTACAATACTTTTCAAATTATTTTTTATTATTTCTTAGATTGGATATAGATTGAGTACTGTTGTTAGCATTATAGTAGCAGTTAAGTAGTCCATAAAAAAAAATTGTTATTTAATTTTTATATATATTATGTCATTAGTTAAATATTTTAAAAATAATAATAAAAGCAACAATTAAGTATTACAGCTGTAATTGTTTACAATTACACTTATTATCCTTATTGCTACATCAAATTTATTTTATACTAGCAGCCTGTCTCGGCGTCGCACGTGTGGACATTTTTACATTTTAAAAAGTGGCCATTAAGGCTGCACACGCGACAGAAGCTTAAAAATGGAGTAACTTTTCCCGTTTTCCTAACATTTCCCTTCACTTCTCTGTCCCTATTGATGGTAGCATGATGAAAAGTATACTATAACCTGCCCAGAAGTATTAAGAATAATTGTACTGATTTCATTTTTGGTATCAATCCATCACTAATCATCCCCTGATAGTTTTTTGTATATTTATAATGAATATCTCTACAGATTTATTATAAGTATAGATTAACTCAATATTAAATAGTAAAGTTAATTTATCTTTTCTTTATTAATAATATCACTTTATTTAAATTACATAGCTTATAATATTATAGTGACAATAGGAAGTAGCTCTCTTGATGGAAAAAATCTGAGACAATTACTACTGTACAAGGTCACTAAGTAACAGCTTTAATAATAAGAATTTGTCTGATATTAATCAAACACTGATGGGAATACAAAGAAAGAGGTAATATAACATAAGTTCAAGTTAATTTAATGTAGTGATATACTTTTTAATAATATATCTTTTTTATTACACCAAATTCCATAAGATTATAGAAGAAACAGTATGCCAAGAGCCTCTATTTGTAAAGATAAAGACCTATCCATCTTATTTAATATACTTTCATAACTTTATAGTACTTAATATAGAATAATATTACAATTTAAAAAAAAAAATGCTAAATATACTATAAGCACATTATTAATCTAGAGTCAAATGCATCTAATATTTCATTTGAATCTTTTTAGCAGTTTAAAGTGTGTTAACATCCTAATATTTTTAGAAACACTAAGACAAATTTTAGTCCTATTAATACCTACTTATATTATTCAATAACCAATCAATAGATAATAATATTTTCATTTCCAAGTACACAGAGTAATTAGATAATGTAATCAAGCAAATAAAACAGCTTTTATCTATAATATTGGTATGACTAAGAAAAAGTATGTTCTGTATTATCTATTAAGAACATTTAGCAAGTAATAATAATAATATCACAAACAGTTTATCATATGAGACCTCATAATTTACTCGTGATAATTAATCTGTCCACATTCTAAAATTAAAACAAGGTCTTTTCATAATCATTTTACATGTGCAGGCATTCTTGTTACCTTATAAGGATGATGAAAAATAGTTTGTACATGGACAAATGATTATCGTTACATTTGTTGTATGTATATTATATTATTTATATAACTTATACAAGAGTCATTGACCATGCTTACGACTGCTATGACTCGCTTCCGTTACGAACGGTTGTTTGTATCATTTTATATGACTCATAAAATAGGAGTTTCCTCTATATAAGTACATAGATTGCAGATTGTTTTAACAGCTGCATACGTGACAATCTCTTACGAAAAAAGCCTACATTTCGTTGTCCATATAATTGGGATATGACCTAGATAATTAAATACAAATAAAATTAAATATAAGTAATCATAAAAACAACTTACTTTGTACGGAATCCGGCTGTCCCGTATTGTATGAACACATCACTCGTTTTTGGGTGCATTTCTCTTGCGAACGCGTACACTACACGTAGGCTACTTGGCGGCATTGTGATTGCGGAAATTTATATATAAGGCCGCGTAATACTCAGGTACAATCACTTTGATCAACAACTGAGATTTCTACATTCCCGCTCCGATAACAGTTTCAGTTCAACTCAGTCAATTCAATCAATGACAGTTTATGTTATGGATGACGATTGGACGAGTATATAGTAGGTACGACGTCATTTCAGTGCATTGTCATTATAAAATGCCAATTAGGTATAATCCAAATTATTTAAAAATATTATTATGGGATAACTGTACTACTCGTAGAAACGATATTTGAATTGCAATTGACGAGACAGTATAATCGCATAGTAACTCTTTAAATTTGTAGATTTATATTAATCTGACAGCTGTCAGCCTTCTACGATGTTTAAGATTGTTGACATTTGTCAGCAGCTAACACTGTCATGCTGTTTCAACTAGGAAATTATTTCATTTCTGCTATTTGACACTAGATGGCATTAATTCAATATCAAATTAAAATTATAGTTTAGACATTCATTAATAGATGACACTTGCAGTTAAAATTAATAATTATCTATTTACTCTGGTAAGAGACACATGAAGAATGACCTCTTGCATGAAGTGTAGTATAAAGCTAAATATTTCTTGTCACCTTCATGATCTAAAAAAAAAATTGGGAACACACTACCAAATATGAGTTGTATAAAAATTGCCTACGTTACTGACTCGAGTACTAAAAGTTGTATGATTTGTATAAAAATCGAGGTTTCTAAAACTATCCACCAAAGACATAATAGTAAATATTAAAGAAATCGTTCATCATGGGTGGCAGTAGTCACTTAGCATCGCCTGATGCTAAGTGACTACTGCCACCTATACATGATCACTTACAACACCAAAGCATATATATATATATATATATATATATATATATATATATATATATATATATATATATACATTCCTCTACATTTCTTTTTTATAAAAAGTAATGTAGTTTTATATAAGAGCATATTCCATTTTAAAAGCCCAGCAGCCGTATGTCGTATGTCGCCATGGCGTTTAGAGCAGGCCATATACTCTAAAACTGACCATTATTTGAAGTCTAAAGGGTAGAGGTCTGGGCTAGATGAGGGCTAGTCTTCAGCTACAGTCCGAAACGTTGGTTTCAAGTCAGGCTTGGGTAGTTCGTGCCTTGTGGCCAGGTGCAGAGTCCTGCTGGAAAATTCACGATATATTTTTAAAAAGTGTATTGCCGAGAGGTGTGAAACTTCCTACTGGGGATTCGACGAATTCTAGCTTTAACAGCATTAAGAACCTTTGTAGTTGTACGCGGCCGCCCCGATCTTTTCTAATCTATTTGTTGATAGTACGATATACGAACATACGGCTGACATCAAGCTTTTGAAGTGTCTGGAATATGAACGGCATATGATCCATAGCCACTTTGTGCAAAGCGATCACTGCAATCCTATTTTCTTTACACCCCATTTCATATTGTAATTTGATAATGAACACGAAAAAATATGTAAAATGGCGCAAAATCGAAAGAAGTTTTTAAAATAATTAACGTGTTCCAAATTCAAAGTAATTAAAAAAATAAGTAAAAGAAAAGTTTTTATGTAACAGTATTTATGGCCAGACTAGTTATCTTTTTAGGAGCATAAGTACTATGATAGTATTACTTATATTACACTATAATTTCTTTCAACATAATTTAATGAAAATTCAAACAAACAAATAAATTGACCCGACGACTATATAATTCGTTTAATGTTGATAGCATAAATAAAAAATCACTTATTTGATCAAAAGTTTCGATTTTTGCTTATTTCAATTAAAGTTGTTTCTGAAATAATTTCAACAAAATGTGGTTATATTTTCATGAAATTTTATTAAAACAGATTAGAAATACTTTGTGCAATTATTGTGCTATATTTCAGCCCATGCGTTTAACTACTGTCAAAGAAAGTCTTTTGCCAGAATGAGACTGTTAAAAATTTATCTACATGGATTTTTTTTTAACAGTAAAAGTAGAATGATAACCCCACCTGCGCTATCAGTGTAGATGAGAATGAAAGCAAGTCAAGTAATCTATCATGATGAATTCCACAAGAATTTGTCACGATGGTGTTCAGAGGAAACCGCGTAAAGTTTGACATGATAACCCTACTTAACCCTATCAGGTCGAACTTTACGCGGTCTAGCGTGTATATAGCTAGAAATAGGGCTGTTAGATCCCATTACTATACCTATACCTATGCCTACCTACCTACCTACTATGTCTATATACCTGCTATACTCTGTACGGATTGTATCTTTGCCCCAAGTAGGTGCTCCCATAGCCGTTGTATAGCTTAAAGGATAACATAATAAGTGCCACATATTTGCACCAATCACCTAGTCCACAAGTAAGGCTACCCTATGACATGAGAAATCAGCCAACAAACATCTGAGAACACATCCCAGAACACCCAGACCTAAGCAAGAGCAATTAAATATGGCAGTTTAATTGCTGGGCATACGTACTTAATACCGTAGGCATCTTCTTCAGATTGACATGAAATATCTACACATCAATAACGTGGGTTAGCATAGCACTTTCCAATAGGTGGGCGATGAGCTTGTTTGCAATTTTAAGTAGTATAAATATTACTGCTTATTATATAAATATTAACATTATGTGTGCCTGCACCATGTTAATAACTCCACGTTAAATTACCTCTTTTAGTAAACCGATGCGCACGCGTCTCGCATAGCATGCATAATGAAGTGGCTGGCAGCGTGAATTAATTGGCGTTTGGCAGACTGCCATTGGACTGGTCATTACAATTGGCTGCTAAACATTATATCTACTACTGTTGTTACTGTAAAACTAATTATTGTCTAAAAAAATAATCTATCTATATAAAATAATCTATATTATGGAATGTAATGATTATTTGAATGATTCTGAACTTTGTTTGTCAAAAGTTTAACGTAATATTATTAGGTATATTTAAACTATTTACCAGAGGGAGACTTTTTACAAAAGTCGTTTGCTTGGGCACCTCTGTCCCATTCGTGTTTCAACCGCGAAGCAGTTGTGTTTGCATGACTGTGTTTCGGTTTGAAGGGTGGGGATATGGCGTGAATTTACGAATAACAGAGGCATAACACCCGAGTCCTCAATAATAGCAATGAATGGGGAGTATCATAGGCGAAACAGTATATTGTGTCCATGGTATTGCTCATGTCTATAGGCAACAATTACCACTTTCCATCAGGTGGGCCATCATCTTGTTTGCCATTCTAAGTTGTATAAAAAAAACTAATTTTATCTTAAAACAAATTCCATTCAATCATATATATCATAAATTCTTTCCATCCAAAAATAGTTTAGTACATGCAATGATAATTAAATTCACCTTATGGTTCCGACACCCCCTCCCTCCTCAGGTCACCCCTTCCTTTCCCGTGGGTGTCATAAGAGGTGACTAAAGGATCTTAATGGTAGAGGGATGGGCAGCAGTGTCCCTCCTAAAATATCACTAAAATCCCAACTGCTATTGCCAACGCGCCCGCCAAGCGTGGCAACTACTGGCAAAACTTCTCTTATGGGGAAGGCTTATGTTCAGCAGTGACAGTTTATGGCTAATATGATAATGAAGATGAATGTTAATTAAAATAAATAAGAAAAATATCTACTTAGATAATTTTAAATGAGGTATTCAAAATCATTTTGTCTGTTGCTACCAAATAATGTTCTCGCAAACTAAATAGTACATCCAATTTGCGCATATTTAATCTAGAATGTTGGAGGAGAGGCAAATCCACCAAAGTTTTTCAGTTTCTATATTTTTTGGTATTTGCATTATACTTTGATAAATACTAGAAAATATGGCCCTAATTGTAATCCTTGTGGAACCTCCACGAAAACTAGAATTGCTGAATATTGTTTCCAAATTAGAAAATTAAAGAATCAGCTTCAGAAGTAGACATACTTATACTATCACCAATAGGCCGCCCTTTCCATCCCCGTGGGTGTCGTAAGAGTCGACTAAGGGCGGACGAGGGATGGGCAGCACCATCCCTCTTAAAACATCTCTAAAGCCTAACTGCGGTTGCCAACCCGCCTGCCAAGCATAGCAGTTACTGCCAAAACTCCCCTTATGGGGAACGCTTATGTTCAGCAGTGGACACTTAATAGTTGAAATAATAATAATAATTAAACCAGATACCTATCTAATTATTTAAGGTTCACAAAAGATGTAGTTAATCAATTAAAGATGACTGCGACACATGTGTCTTTATTTAACAAAATTAAAGCAGATGAGGGCTAATATTAGTGTGTTTGGTCGGTGGTCACGGAGCGTTGCCATAGAAACCATTAAAGCCCGTTTAGACGATTCAGCGTTGGTAATTAATCGTGCAAGTTATAATGAGAGCGGTCCCTAAATAAACCGCCGTTACCAGGGTCAGCTTGAGTTGCAAGGAGATTTAAATAGGTACTTTAGTTACAGATAATAAAACAAGAAAGTCTTTTTTAAAGTGTCTGAATTGAAAATTATTCCTAGTTTTAGGGTTCCACGCCGAAATATAACGAAGACAATCCATCTGACGCGTATTATGACGATATTGCTTGTAAGCATTTTTGAGTACCTTAATGTTATGGATATATTTAGTACACACAGCTTGCCATGCCCCTGAACGTGTCATAAGGTAAGTATATAACTACATATATTTAACATCACAGCTTACAGTCTTGCTTTGAGTGAGACCTCTACATATGAACTTCACCACAAAGTATACTGTGCCACTTGCATTTAACGACTTTTTGCAATGCTTTTGAGATCCTTACCTCATCTTGCGAGGAGTCGCCCCGTACTACGTTTTGTGAGGCCCGTGAGTCGCACTAAGAAATGGCTATTAGGTTTTACTCTTAATTCTCATAGAAACAGAAGAAACAGATTCTGTACCATCGAAATCGTAAGTAATAACTATTTATTTAGTTATTTATTATATAATTAATGCAACGCTGCTACCTATACAAATAAAAATGAATCGCTAAATATGTATGTTGTTATGCTCAAACCACGAGAACGGTTGAACAAATTCGGCATTATTTTATCTAATAGTTGTTAAAGTCTATGGAAGGTCTTATGAAGAGAAAAATTGGAATAATTGACCAGGAAAACATAAATACTTGTT